TGACCAAACATTTTAAAATTATACTGTATCAACACTTTTAATACTATATAATAATCAAAAATAGTTCTTAAAGTGTTGACTTTTACAAATATTTGTCATCTGTTGTCAAATTTAAAAAATATTGATAATATGGGGAAAACGTATAGATAAATATATATGTTACCTATACGTTTGTATGTTATCTATTGCTAAATAACAAAGTACCTTAAAACTTAGTAGCTAAAAGCAATAAGCACTTCTATTGTTCACAACTCAACCAGTCAACTGGGTGGTTCTTCTTGTTTCTGGGGTTATTCATGTATCTAAGACCACCTGCATGTAGACTACGCATCTCTACTGACATTGCTGGGATCTCTCATGTATTTGAATATCATCTGACTTGAAGCTGGTCTAGGATAACCTTGGCTGAGATGACTGGGCTCTCCTCCATGTGATGTCTCTTATCCTTTAGCTATCTAGCCCAGGCTTATTCACATGATGGCTCAGGGGGCCATGAGGGAGAGGTTCATCATGCTTCCCAAGACCTGGGCTCAGATGGTGCAATGTCCCTCCACTGCATCATGCTCACCAAAACCAAGTCATAAGCCAGTTCATCATCAGGGCAAAGAGCATAGATCCAAGGAAGTCAATGATTGGGCTATCTAAAATTAGTACTAACTGTCTTTTAAAAGCAGAGGAAAAAAATAACAAATATGCAAACTAAACATATAATTGTGGTACCTTTGTAGTGTGAAATTAAAGGTAACTGATTTTATTCCATTTTATAAATTTTTCTATTGTTTAATTTTAATGGCAAGCTATTATTTTTTAGTGAAATAGAAGAGTTTTTTGTACACTCAAAAAAAAAATAGACATATGAATATGTAGATAAACAGTGGCCACAACTGACAACTAAGGAGATCAGGAAAAAGAGAGAAAAGGTTGGCTTAAGTTTATTGAGTAGGGGAAAATTAACTATCTTGTTTCATCAAATACTATAAATTAGGCATGATTCTAGGTATGTTTATATGTAATTAGAGGCCCAGTGCACAAATTTGTTGCACTGAGATCCGGCCAGCCTGCCCCAATCAGGGCGTATTGGGGCTGGGCCAGTCAGGAGGAGGAGATGGCAGGAGGTTGGCTGGCCAGCCCTCCCTGATCAGGGCCCGAACAGCTTGGGGGAGGGGCATGGGCGATTGGCCAGTGGGCCCCACCTCTGATTGGTGTGTGTGTGGGGGGGAATTGGAGGTCAGTGGCTGGGGGAGGGGCTGTGGGAGGTTGGCTAGCCAGCGCCACCCCTGATTGGTATGTGTGTGTGTGTGTGTGGCGGGGGGCGATGGTGGGTGGAACTGGCTGGGGAGAGGGGCTGGGGTCCAATTGAGGTTGTGGGGGCTAATCAGGAATGGGACTTGCTGTGGGAGAGGCTGTGGGTGGTGGGCTGGCCAGCCTTGCCCAAAAATGGGGTTGGGGGTTGATCTAGGAGGTTGGCTGGTTAGCTCACCCTTAATGGGGTGAGGGGGGCTATCTGGGGTGGGCTGGTTGGAGGGAGGGGCTGCAGGCCAATCAGGATGGTGGGAGCCCATCGGGAGCAGGGCCTGCCAAGGGGAGGGGCTGCCAGAGGTTGGCTGGCCAACCCCACCCCTGATCACTGGTTCACTGGCTGCAGTGGGCATCATAGTGACTGGTTATTCCAGGTGTTATGGTGTTCCAGGAGCTGGCTTTTATATATATAGACTAGAGGCCCAGTGCATGAAATTTGTGCGTGGTGGGGGGTGTCCCACAGCTCGGCCTGCACCCTCTCTAATCTGGGATCCCTTGAGGGATGTCCAACTGCCGGCCTGATTGACTAACTGCTCCTCTGCCAGCCCAATTACCCTCAACAGCCCTTCCCTGCAGGTCTGGTCGTCCCCAACTGCCCTCTACTGCCAGCCTGATCACCCACAACTGTTGTTCTTTGCCAGCCATCTTGTGGTGGCCATCTTGTGATGATGTGGGGACAACCATCTTGTGGTGGCTATCTTGTGACAACATGGGGGTGGCCATCTTGTGACGACATAGCACGACGCCACCTAGGCTTTTATTATATAAGATTGCTTAATAAATTTAAACTGAATTCCTTAAATCTAACCATTTATTTTCAAATTGAGTACGGGGCTTTTCTCACAGATGCTTGAAGACTCCACTATTCTTGCTCAGCAGATCTGTTGAATTTGAATCCAGTGTAACAGTTCTAAGGTTCCTTTTATTTATTACTACTGCTGTATTTAAACTGAGCAATAATCCTTGTGCACATTTCACTAAAATGCAACTTATCTTTTCCAATATGCAATATAAAGTTATTTTTTGTTCTCTTTAAAATAGAAAAGAGAAGAAAAGAGATGACTTATTTGGGTTTTGAACATGATGCTCCTGTCAAGGTGTGCAGTTGTCAGTTTCTTGCTCCCTTCAAGCCTTCCACATTAACACTTCATTTCCAAGGGTGGACAGCCATCGGTCAAGTTGGTCCTCCCTCTAATTACTGGTTAAGGGGTGGCACAGAGACAAGGAAGGGTCCATTTGATTTATTAACTGTGCTAAATATAGAATGGAAAATAGAACAGAAACTGTGAGTATGTGTGTGTGTGTCTGTGTCTGTGACTGTGTGTGTGTGTGTGTGTGTGTGTTTTCTTCCACTGACTTTGTTATATCAAACTGAAAAGATAGATTTTGCTCTGTTTTCCAAAGGAAAAAGCTCTGAATCACAGGAGTCTAATCCTATCCTGGCAAAGAAGAAGAGGATTTGAGAAGCAGCAGCTTCCACTTAAGCAATACCAGTAAACACACCCGTGTCCAATGAGAGAGGAAAGAAAGTTGCTTTCATTTTTAAGATTTTTCCTGCTCAGGGAGCCCGCGCAGCAATGGCTGGTGAGTGACTCTAGTTTTTCCACTGTTTATGGCTGTGTTTGGGGGACTTACAGCTCAGGAGGAAGGCTGGGGGAGAGGAGCAGAGCCATGAAAGGGGCACTCAGCAGACAAAGCTATTCTACTCTGGGATGTGGGTGATGGGAGCTTGGGTCACAGAAGTGACTGTGCTAACACACAAAGTACTTTAGTTAATATGTTATAGCTTCTTAAAGGAAAAATAGGAAATTCCAAAAAAAAAACTGGATCTGTGTTCTTAAATCTTTCCTGTGATTTTAGGCTTCTCTTTGGGCTCTTACCTCCCTAGAATTCTTGCCCATTTTAAGAGCGTCCTCTTGTTTGAGTGAGAGGCCCTGCTGTGAAACACAGGAACTTGCATTTCCTCCATGTTTCGTTTTCAGCAAGCAAACCAGCTGTGGTTCGTGCTCTCAGTTCGTGCTCTACAAACAAAGCTGCTCTCAGCCCTGCCCCTGGGAACAAAATGCATTCTTCTACAAGTATAATATGTTTATGTTTACTGCTATACAAGTTGAATATCACGTGTTCTTAAGTATTGATAAATGTGATAGGAAGTGAATAGATGGTGGATGATACAAAAACTGACCCATGTCAGCTATCATGGATCTCCGTAGTGAAGTTGCTTCAAGTCTGTGAATGTCAGTTTCTTCATCTATAAAAGGGCACAGGCTTGAGTAAGGTATGTGCTATTATAAGTGTGGTCTGTGGAATCACCTCAGGAGCTGTTAGAAATAAAAATTCACAGAATGAAATAAAATAAAATGAAAATTTGATAGATCCACCCTGATCTATCAAAATCAGAATTTTTAAAGAGAAAGAGAGAGAGAGGAAGGAAGAGCAACATTAATTTGTTGTTCCACTTATTTATGTATTCATTGGTTAATTCTTTTAAAAAATATTTTTATTGATTTCAGGGAGAGAGAAATAGAAACGTGAAGGATCTGTGATTAGCTGCCTCCTGCATGCCCCCACTGGGGATTGAGCCTGCAACTTGGGCATCTACTCTTAACTGGAATCGAACCTGGGACCCTTCAGTCCTCAGGTGGTCACTCTAGCCACTGAGCCAAACCAGCAAGGGCCATTTGTTGATTCTTGTATGTGACCTGACCTTGTATGTGCCCTGATTAAGGATAAAACCTGCAACCTTGGCTTATGAGGATGAGGCTCTAACCAAATGAGCTGCCCAGGACCAGGCCCTATGAAATCAGAATTTTTGTGAATGGGGTATAGGCAGCTCTTGCTTATCAAGATGTTCAGATTCTTGATTTACATTAGAGAACCACTACCTATGGAAGGTCTTGTCTATATCTAAAATTGTATTGTTTTCACAGACAAGAGACAGAAAGAAGATCCCATCTATAAGGTGAAGTCAATTGCCAGGAACATGGTCGATGGCTTTTTTGATGATTTGACAGAAAAAAATGTTATAAATAAGGATGAGTTACAAAGGTTGGGAGAAGGATTAGACATCATTGTGAACAAGACTGAAAGTCTACTTGAGGATATCACTGAGAAAACTCAAATGACAGGAAAAATACTTATGGACCGTATCTTCAACCCCAGGAAACTACTGAGTTTGAGTGAGTATCTCAGACCAAGGTGCCAGTAACTAGTTCTTTATCTACTCTCATTACACGCTTTTTCTTTTCTTATTTCTATTCACGTGTGGAGCATGAATTGTCCACATATCTGGTACCTTCTTTGCCTGATTTTCTCATTTAATATTTCAAAATGCCCTCATCTACTCCTGTTCCTGTTCCAACAACTCCAATCACTTTACACTGATGCACATTTTCTTTATCAATTGTCACCTTCAATCATTCCGTAACCTACATTTATTTATTTATTATAGCATCTCTCTCCCTGCTGAAATGTAAACTCCTTGAGGCATGTATGTCTGCTTTGTTTAAGAATATATCCCAATCCACAGAAATGGCACCTGATAGGTGCTGAGTAAATATTTGTTAAATGAATCAATCAATGGTGCTGGAGTTGTATTAAATTTAATGAGAGCTTTTAGCTAATCTGTGCTACTCTGGCCATACACTATAGACATTAGAGTCATTCCCAGATATAGAATATCCAATGGAAAACCCCCCAAAAAACACAAAACAAACCACTATCTTCTGCTTAGCGGTGGTCTATGCCTGTTAAAGTAAAAAACCATTGAAACCTGTAAAGAATTTTTGTGAGTTTATTTGAGCCAAATTGTCGACATATGCTGGGAAGCAGAACCTCAACAAATTGAGATAGGGCTCCGGAGAATGACGGGGTTGCATTTGTATTTACACATTGCAGTCAAAGGAGGGACATAGGTGGGTTACATGAAATTCATTGGTGATAGATTAAGGAGGAGGGATAAAGCAAAGCAGGGAAACCCTGGGATTGGATAATAGGTAAAATGATGGACACACACTTAGGTGGGTGCAGGAACAATTAACATGATAATGAAGGGATTTGTGGTCTCTGTCCTGGCGCCCAGCACATTTGGTTGTGCCCCAGGGGCTCCAGAAAAAGGGAAGTTACAAATTACCCAGGCATTTCAAGGGTATGTTATCATAGATGCAAAAAGACAGATGGACTCAGTTAAGGTAAAGGTTGACCTTGTCAGTGAAGATACCAGCCTAGGATGTTACTGCCCACCATTACAGCTTTTAAATTTTAATTTCAGACCATCTTTGTGGTTACTTTAGGTCTCTGAGTTTGCAAGACTGCCATGCAGGCCTTCCCTGAGCTTGTCAGGTCAGCATGTGGCCCCTTTCATCCACAATCCCAAAAGATATATCTCTAAGAACCTGTATTTATCTGTGTTAAAAAGGGAGATAAGCAATTTGACACATACATGTGTCTTTCTCTCTAGAGCATGGGTCGGCCACATCTTTCCTTTGAAAGGACAGATAGTATTTTAAGCTTTTTGAACCATGTGGTGTCTGCCAGAACACAACTCAAATCTGCTGTTGTGGTATGCAATCAGCAATATACAATAAGTCCAAAATGAGTGTGGATGTGTTCCAGTAGCTTGTTCATTTACAAAAACAGGTGTAGGGCTGAGTAGGGCCCACAGGGCATAGATTTTTGTTGATTCCTACTCTAGCATAAAACATACACATGGGTATATATTCCAAATCCTTCCAACATCCCTCAGGGATTATTTTGTTGTTGTTGCTGTTGTCGCAAGATGAATTTTTGTAGAGATTTTTTTCCTCTTTGAAATGAAAAATGCTTTTGCAAAAAAGCCTTGATTAAATAATTTAATGATTCCTTGTATTAAATAAACAGGAAGATAATGACCTATTCCTTATTTTGTGGAAACTCAGCCTCCTCCTTCACTTTGTAGAAGGTTGCAGTCCTCTAAAACAAATTTGGAGTTTAAAGAATGAGTCAAATTTCCATGCTTCATATGCCATCTGCTGAACATAGTAATTTCCTTGTCAATGATAGGTGAAGAATTTGAAGTGTGTAGGCTCTAGAAACTTACTTCCGCTAATGCATATTTATTTTATTTTGGCAGCTCATCGTGAAAATGAGGATAGTGAATCTGAGAACAGTGAGTCTTCTTCCTCAACAGGTAAATGCCTCCAAGTCTCACCTCACAGGTGAAAACTTCTAGTGTTATCAGAATTTATGCTGGTAAAGACCTAGAAAACCCGTGTTCTCAATCAATTTTCGTCTTTGGAAATAACCTTCAGAGTAAAGCTTCGATGCTTAATATTTTGTTCATTTCACCTCAGAATCTGAAAATGAAAGTGAAGAAAATGAAGATAAGGAAAAAGCTGAATCAGTCCACACATTGGATCTCCCTCCAACAGGTAACTGCCATCAAAACTCAGTGGCTCATGGGAGCCCTCATACATTACTTGGTGTAAGGCAGCTATACAGCAGCCCTATGTTATAGTGAAAAGACCACTGAATTTAGGTTCAGGAAATCAGATATTTTTCCCTTCTGCCCCTAACAAAGTCCCTCAAAAGTAAGATTAACACTTGCATTCCTCTCTTTATTTCTAAGAATCTAGAAGTGAAAATGAAAATGATGAAACTGAGGAGCATGCTGGCTTGTCCCAGGCATCGGTTCTACCTCTGACAGGTAATATCATGGACATATAAGGACACTAATTGAGCTAGGGCATATTAAAAGGCCTTTTGGCACAGTGGAAATAGAAATGGAATAACGCCCCCCCCAAAAAAAAAATATATGCATTAAGTCCATCTGCCACCAACTAAACACGTTCTCTGGTACCTATTTCTCAGCTTTTCGGAGGTTCAAATTTTTAAATGGGATTAATAACATATTTAAAGGGATTCATAAAACATCTAAGATATAAGCAACTAGCAACTGCACAAAACAGAATAAAGATGTGGTTAATAAAAGTACATTAGAAAGACAAAACAGCATGAATCACACATACTATGTGGTGACCAAAGAACCTGACAAAATATAAGGCCACATTAAAGAATGACAATGTCTAGAAAGGGAGTAGTGATGGTGTTGTCTTCTGAGTATTAGATCTTCAGAAGTTCTGAACAGACCAAGGCATAAAAACTTTACAATCTGTATTCATTCTTACATCTATTCTTATATTGCATATATGCATCTGTTCATTGAAAACCTACAATATGCTATTCTAATTAATGTGTTTATAGCAATAAGCAATACAAAGATCCTGCTTACATGGAAATTACAACGTAGTGAAGGCAGATATATAATGAACATGAAGAAACAAAGTAGCATAATTTCAGGGAACATACATGAGAAAAGAGGATTTGCCCATAGAAAGAGATGTTGGGGTGGGTGGAAGGTACATGAGCCAGGGCGGATAGTTATGAGAACTCTCTTGAGGTGCTATTTCAGTACATACCTGAGCAACAGTTTGCCAAACTCTAATGCAAAAACATTCCATGAAAAGGCAAAACAAGAGCAAGGGCTCTGAGTCTGGAATGATCTTGTCATAGAAAAGGTCATCTGGCTGAAGAGCAGGAAATTAGCTAGAATGTGGTAGGAGAGCAGCTAAGGAGTCAGACTATTGCTGTAATGCCATTTTGGGGTATTTTAGAGAGTGGAAAAAATTGGATTTTGTTTGCAATAGAAAACATGTAAGGAGTTTTTAAGAGGAGGGATAAACAAGCATAGAGTCAGAAAAGCTACTTGAAAACTATTTGCATATTTTAGTTAAGAGATAATAGCTTTTAGTTTAGAACTGCAGTAATAGAGATTATGACAGGGAATTAAATTTGGGATCTATTTTGGAGGTAGAATCAACAGAAACTATAGATGAATTGGGTGTGGGCTAATAAAAGAAGTGAAAGAATCAAAGGTGGTTCTAGGTTTTTGGCTGGACAACTAGGTACCAGTTACTGAGACAGCGAAAAGTTGTGATTCAGAGTAAAATCAGGAGAAACAGATTTGCAGGAGTGGACAAATATCAGGAGCCCTTAGTACATGTTTAGTTTGAAACGTGCTATATCCAAGGCAGGTGTTGAGTAAACAGGATTTTGCAGAAGAATCAGGGATGGGAATACATTTGGGGATTCTTCAGCATGTAATGGTAGATTGAATTCCAGTGGTGGGACTGACACAGGCTGTCTGGGGAGAAATGCGGATAGAGAACAACATAGAACAACCCTACTTTTGGATGTATGGCAGAAGAGGAAGAGTCATCAGTGGGGACAGATTTAGAAAGAATGCTGGAAAATGCAGCATCCCAGAAGCCCAAAAAACATCTTTCAAAAACTAAGATGTTAAATGATGAGAAAGGGAAAAAGTGGTTTTTGGTAACCTTGATAACAAGTACTTTAAGTGGTGAGGATACTAGCCAGTTTATATTGCATCCAGGAGAAAAAATTGAGTTGAAAAAATAAAAATAGTGAAAATAGACAAAGCCTTAAAAGGAGTTGTGCTGAGAAGTGGAGAAGAGAAATGGAACAATAAGAGCTGGAGGGGAAGTGAGGTCAAGGGTAAGAGTTTTTAACAGATAACTTGATATAAAGGCATGCTACTATTCCAATGGGGATAACACAGTGGGGAGAGTGAGAGAAGTTGATGGTGGAGAAGGCCCAGCTAAATAAATGCCTGAGTCAAGTCCTGTGGGTGAGAGGGAATGGAACTCAGAGCATAAGTAGAGGTACCACTCTTATTGGAGGAAGAACTTGTCTTTATTTGTAGTAGGAGGAAAAATAAAGTAGGTGGGTAGATAGGTAGGTGAACTGATGAATTTGTTGGTTAAAAATGAAGTCATTTTTATGCAAAAATTATTAAAAGGAATAGAGGTTTGTTATACTAAGGTAAAACAAGAAACCAGGAGATACTTGGTAGCTGTTTTCAAGTTGACGCTAACTACTGTATTCATTAACAAGCAGTTATAAACTGTGCCAGATATCATTAATGTGTGCCAGATTATCTTGCTAGATACTGGAAATACAAAGATTACAGACACTTTCCTGTCCTACTTAAGCTCACAGTACAATAAACACAAGGTAAAATACAATAACTTTTTTTAGATGGGACAATTATATAAAATAATGTGGAGATAAATTAAAGTCATAGAAGAATTCATGGGCTTTCACAGGGAAAGGAATTAGATTTTTTTGTGATAAAAATGTGGGAAATACATAACAATACTTAGAAGGTTCTCACTTTACAATATTCAGAACTATTCAATAATGATTTAGAGTGTTTTAAGTTACCTGTTAGTAGAGATATTTCAGAGAATGGTGGTTATTGGGGTATTGTACATGGCATTCAAATATCTGAATGGTAACTTGACTAGGCCAAATGAACATTAGGCTTCTTTCTAAATCTTAGGTACTGTGTTCATATGAATGTAATGAGTTGGCTTTTAAAGATTAGTCAATGCTGTGAGCACTAACAAAAACAGAAATATATAGTGGGGGTCACTAAGAGGCAGAAAGAAAAGAGGGGGAATATTTGTTTTTGTTTTAGTAATTTAAATAGAAAACATTTTTATTATATTAAGCTGTTGGGTGAGATGGTGGTAAGCAATTCTTAAGAATGAAAGCCGACTCAACAGAGATGCATGATTGCAAAGCAGTGGACATTATTGCTTAATGAGGATTTGTTTTTGTTTTGCTTTTTCTCTTTTAGCTCCTCAGGAAACCCAGTCTTCCCAACCCATTCATAAGTTGAAACTTTGTCCTCCTGATCATTTCCAGAGACTGAAGACAACAAAGAAAGATGAGGTATTTTGCTTTGGAATAGGGAGAAACACAATTTCCCCACTTAAACAAGATACTGGAGACATACTGGGAATTTTAGTTCATGTAAAAATCATAGGTTGTTATCTAATCATGCTCTCTAATAAGTGATCCTTACATTACCTTTCCTGTCTCTTCCATCCCATCCTGGAACACATTCTAAACCTCTAACCAATGCCAAGTTCCTACTACATGTGTTCAGTCTATGGTCCTCTTTCCTCATAAGGACATAGAGTAGTTCCATTCCTAAGCTCTTCAGCCATCCATTCTGTAATGGGAAAAGGTCTGTTTTCTATGCACTTTGGAGGCAAACATGAGGAGGCCTGGGACAACTAATTCTGTGTTTGTTAATTGCAGATTTATCCAGTGATGGAGAAAGAGGGCAGAACACGCCTGGCCCTCATCATCCACAACAAAGATTTTGATCATCTTTGCAAACGATGGGGTTCTGAAGATGACCTTTTGGGGATGCAGGACCTGCTAGAAAGCCTTGGATACTCAGTGGTTGTAAAAGAGAATCTTACAGCCTTGGTAAGAACTCAAGAAAGTGGGACAAACTTCCTACCATCCTAAACAGTTTTGAACTTCTTCCTTAGCAGCGATACGAACAAAATACGCATATGTTATAGGAATTATATTTGTTCAAGAATAGGGTCTCCTGGATTTCTGCCTCCTCAAGTGCAGTCTCATAGCAAGGGTTCAGAGTACCTTTTAGTAGTAGTATCTCACTAAAAATTCTGGATCTCTCTAAAGGTCTCAATCTGAGAGAAAATCTATTACTTGATAATATTGGTGAAACAAAAGACCTAGGCCCTAAAATTGCCTGATACCTACAGAATGAGCTCATGAGATTTTTATAATTTCAACATCATGTGTCTAAATGTAAAGGCACGTATGTGGCAAAAAACAAAAACAAGTTTACACACACACACACACACACACACACACACACACACACACGAGTTATGATTCTGGCTCTGCCTAAAATTCACACACACACGCACACACACACACACACAGGAGTTATGATTCTGGCTCTGCCTAAAACATCCTGGGTAACTTTAGACAAACCATGTAAACCTAACTTTCTGTTGTTCCATGATGAGTGAATTTGTTAAGTGTTTATAATTTTTGTCAATAGAAAATTCTCTTTTTTAATGAAAACTTACAGAAACTCCAACATATGAAACAGATGAAAACTAAGATGAAACAGATGGAGATTAGTCATGTCACTTGCCCCTCATTCTATTTCAGTGGTTCTCAACCTTCCTAATTCCACGACCCTTTAATACAGCTCCTCATGTTGTGGTGACCCCCAACCATAAAATTATTTTCATTGCTACTTCATAACTGTAATTTTGCTACTGTTATGAATCGTAATGTCAATATCTGATATACAGGATGTATTTTCCTTGTTACAAATTGAACATAATTAAAGCATAGTGATTAATCACAAAAACAATATGTAATTATATAGGTGTTTTCTGATGGTCTTAGGCGACCCCTGTGAAAGGGTTATTCGACCCCCAAAGGGGTTGCGACCCACAAGATTGGCTACCCACAGGTTGAGAACCGCTGTTCTATTTCATCTCCCAGCATCGTCCTAGAGTCCAAATCGCCTGATCCCTTGTTGCCTGCACCGTTTTGTTAACTCCATCTACTGTTCAGTTGCAAACTATAGATGGAGAGCTCCTTCATCGTGATTCTGGAGTCTCTTTCAGGAAATGGTAGCAGTGCTATGTGAGTTTGCTGCCCGCAAAGAGCACCGATCCTCGGACAGTACAATCTTGGTGTTTATGTCACACGGTGTCCTGGAAGGAATCTGTGGGACAAAACACAGAGGAGAAGAACCAGATATACTTCATGATGATACAATCTTCCAAATTTTCAACAACCGTAACTGCCAGAGTCTAAGAGACAAACCCAAGATCATCATCATGCAGGCCTGCAGAGGAAGTGAGTCTGAGTTGGGGGAAGTCAGGGAGTGGCTTTACACTTTTTTCCCCATTCGTATGATGTCTAGCCTTCTTTGTCTCAGAGATGGGTGAGAAAAAACATTTCATTATCACTCTCAGGCCCAGTCCAGAATTGTAGTAATTTTGTATTATTCTTTTTTTTTATAATATATTTTATTGATTTTTTACAGAGAGGAAGGGAGAGGGATAGAGAGTTAGAAACATCGATGAGAGAGAAACATCGATCACCTGCCTCCTGCACACTCCCTACTGGGGATGTGCCGGCAACCAAGGTACATGCCCTTGACCGGAACCAAACTGGGACCCTTCAGTCCGCAGGCCGATGCTCTATCCACTGAGCCAAATCGGTTTC